CAAGCTCAGCTGGAGCCTGGGAGCCAGACAGCAGCCCTCCTCTGTGGTTTTTGCTTTTAGTTCTTGCTTGCTGCCCTGTCCTGACTTCCTTCCCACCTGGACTGTGACTTGTAAGTGGAAATAAACCCTTTCCTCTTTTCAGCTGTTTTTAGTGTTGCTGTTTATCACAGCAACAGTCCCACACTAGAGCAACACAGATACAAAGTAACTCCTTCAGAGGAAGCGAGCTAGGCTGAGTCAAACTTTGATTCTCACCTATGATCAGATTGAACCCATCCTCATCCTTCTTGGGGAACATGAATGCCTTTCCTGATGAGCTGATAGAAATGTTGCAATCCTACTGTGGTATGAAGTTATGATTTGAGAAGAACTATCTCAGTTAAGGAGTCTGTGAGGCCAGGCTTGTAACAGGAATTGATTCTGTATTTCTCAGTGATGATGATACCAAAATCCCTGACAAATATTCCTGTTAAGGGTTTTGCATCACCACCCTGGGCACAGCCAGTGTGCCTTTTCCAAGTCCGTATCTCTGTGCTTCAACTAACAACGTCTATCTGTGAGAGACACTGATTTTTCATATGCCACATGCTTTATGTGATACACAACGGGAACCTCATGCCCCAGCTTGCCTCTCTTAAGATGGCATTAAATGTTTCATTCTCTGGGTGCTGGTTCATTTCATGTCGGCCTGGCATCAACTAATCCAGCCATGTATATTTTCCCATACAGACATTTGCAGTACATCCCATTTCCCAACAGAAAAGATAAGCCGAAGACTCTGAAAGGCTACAGTGAGCAAAACGTATTTTATGATGAATCATTCATTTTGAGGCTAGAGTTTAGATAACATAGTAGAGGGATTAAGAAATGGGAAAATGGGGGCTGGGGAGATGGGTTAGTGGGAGCACAAGTGTGAGGACCTGAGTTCAAATCCTTACCTCCCAGCTAAATGCCAGGTGGGTGTAGCAAGGCCACTTGTAATCCCAGTGCTCAAGAGGTGGAAATGGGATCCTGGGTAACAAGCTGGTGGGCTAGACTAGGATCAGCAAGATCTGGGCTCAAGTAAGAGACCCTGCCTCAAAACACATGGTGGACGGTGACAGAGGAAGACACCGGACATGAACCTCTGGTCTACACATACACACATGTGCACATGTATCCATGCACAGACGTGTGAACACATGTACACAGTCGCACATACTCCAAATAAACATGCAAAAACAAATATAGGGAAATGGGGCTGGAGAGATTGGTCAGCAGGTAAGAACATGTACTGCTCTTGCAAAGGTCCATTTACTTCTCAGCACCCAAGTTGGGCAACTCACAACCAACTGTAACTCCAGTTCCTAGGGATCCCATGCTTTTTTTCTGGCCTTCACTGACACCTATATTTACATGCACATACCCACACACAGACACACAGACACACAAAATTAAAAAGAAATATTTGTTTTAGTTGGGAAATAAAACAGCAGAGGTTCACTTCAGTGTTACACTTGCATAGCACACTCATAGTAAGTCCTAAGTCTGTCATAATCACAGGAAAAAAAGACAGACAAGTGAAGTCTGTGAAATGGCTCAAGATGTTGCGTATAGCTTGAAGCATATTGAGTCCTATGCGCCTGTGAGACAACAGGTGAGGGGCTCTGAGAAGTCTGCAGAGATTCAGAGGATCTGAGCTTCTAGGCTTGATAAGCTAGCGAGGTTCAGAAAAAGAAAGATGCTCGAGGATCAAATATGTAACTACTTAAAGGACTCTCGGTATCTGGTGTGAATCAAGGAAAGAAAGGAGCCCTGGGAAATTAGGACAGCTGGGGGACCTGGCAGCGGCACTGCAGGCAGCAGGAAGGACCCCCGGGCCACCAAGTTCAGGAAAGACTGAGACTCTTCACTTGGTTTGGTATTTAAGGGAGAACTAATCATCTTTGAAAGATAAAGGTCACTTAGAGGCCATGGAGGCAGGAGCTGGCTGCAATCATAGCATGAGTTTTACTGATAGCACTCAACAACAGACCCCTCTGCTTCCACAGCTCTGGGCTGAGGGGGTGCTCTATTCATAAACTTAATTCTCGATAGTAACCCTTTGGAAGGATCTTGCACTACCCCACTTCCCAGATAACTCCTGACGCCTCTCCTTCAAGATAAGAGCTTATTATCCAAGTAGATATGAGAAGAAGAAAGTACAGAGGTCTGAACAGTCTGCCCAGGTGTTGTATGACACAATCCTGGAGAGACACAAACAAGTCTACTCCGGATAGGGGTGACAGACCAAAGTGAGGATGCACCAAAATTTAACTCAATGAACCAATGAGGTTTTGGAGGGTTATCTACAGGATTATGGGTGGGGGGTTATGTGCAGACACATAAGTGCATCACCAAAGCCCACCCCAGTATGGGTAACAGCTCAGGAAAGCTGGAATCCTGAGCTCACTGCACAACCCGGAGGCAGCTGGTCAAGCTGGAGTGTCCTTTCCAGGTGGCTCGGCTGGATGAGCTTCATCCAGGCAGCTGGGCTGGCCTCTGTCTCTTCCTGGTGGTTGGGCTGGCCAAAGAGCATCTCCCAGCAGGCTTCAGGGTTTATACTTGGGGAAGGAGGAGCTAGTGAATATGGTCAGTTTCAGGAACTTCCTGAAACCGTTGAGTTGTTCACTCCCTGAACTTAAGGAGCTTCCCTGCAGGATGGAATGTTTCACCTCCCTTTTGCTACCCTGTTTTTTACGTCCCTTTGAAACATTCTCTTGTCTACCCAGCTTTCCTTCCAATGGACATTTTTATTTTGGAGGACATTGCTCAGAACCCCAGGCCTGCACAGCACACAAGCACAGCAGCCTGAGCACTTTTGCTACTGTTTAATCATTATGGATGAATATGTGATCATATTCATGGTAGCCTGGGTGGGAGGAGAGGTCACTTCGTTCAAACACTGATCTTAGAACACAGGCCATGGACTGGGATGTGGAAGAGGAATGGGAGTCCCAGTGACAGCACTGAGGGAAAGAGGGGCTGTGACAGAGGAGTTCCAAATTAGAAAGAGCCTGGCATGCAATGGTCAAATCTGTGTGTCTGTGGATGAGCTCACTGACTCGCTGTCTTCTTTGGCCACAAGGTGAGAGGAGGGCTCCAAGTGGATGGGTGTTTTCTTGTAGACTCATGGTAGGGAGGTACCTGGGGCCTGTCAGATGAAGAGTGGAAGACAGCAACAGGGATCAGGGGCAAGGAGGAGGGGCCAAAGCAAACCAGGGCTTGTGGACTTTGCACATTCCCACTGCTCTTTCCAGTCACTAAAATTTCTAGTGGGAGGTGATAGAGAGGCATCTCGCATGGAAGTGGTAGATGAGAATTCCCACTGGGAAGCCTGTGCCCTCTGTACAGTTTTCCCTGCAGCTGCGCCAGCAGGCTTGACTAGCCGTGACCACCTGGTTCTCTGTTGCGTGGTTGCTCTCTGCTGTCCTTGGTGTCATAAAGCAGGAAAATTCCCTCCCTCACCAAATAGCAGGGTTGGGTGCTGTATATTGGGATGTTGGTTTTCTTGTTTGTTTTGTTCTGAAATTAAAAGTATGCAAAATATGGAAGATGCAGTTTTTATTTAAAAATTTTCTATTGGAGAGGTAAATACAGACGCATCTATATTGAAATCTGTGTTTGAATTGGGCTGGGGGTATGATTCGGTCAGTAAAACAATGCTTGCTAGGCCAACATGAGGACTTGAACTTGATACCTAGTACCCGTGTAAGAAATCTGGGCACACTGGCAAGTATTTGTCATCCCAGTGCTTGGAAGACAGAGACAGGAGGATTCTTGGGGCTCACAGGCCTAACTGGTGACATCCAGGTAAAAGTGAAAGACACTTTCTCAATAAACAAGACAGGACCTGAGGAAGGCGCCCAAGGTTGACGTGTGACCTCCACAAGCCATGTGGACATGAATACACACACACACACACACACACACACAGCACATGTACACATGTGGACATGAATACATACACACACATAGCATTTTAAGGCCCTCTATTTGAAACAGTCACTGATATGGATACCTTAAAATAGTAAAATATTCTCTAGGCTAAGAAAGGTTTAATTGATGAGGGATCCAGAAGTGGGATTATCTTTTCATGAGAATGACGATGACTGTCATCTGGATTAAACATTTCTCTGTGAACGTTCAGGAGGAAAAAGTGAAAAGAGAACCAGACACACAAATTACATATTTTGGTGGTACTTGAATTCATAGGATTCACTAAGTCAAACATTCTGCCTTGGTTATGAACACCAATACATAAAGCCCGCTTTCGTCCCTGTGGGTTCTTTGAGTTGCTGGGAAGTCCTCGGTACATGCTGCAGAGCCACGTTAATTCACTGCCTCGGGTGGCAGACCTCCATTTCAGACAGGTGTGTTAATTAAATAAACTAATAATTTTGCAGGTAGAAGTACAAAAGCGTAATTACCTAATTTGCTGATTGTTCCACTGTGTTCATTTGCATAGTTGTACCTGCCATGCAAACAAATGCTTTGTATATGTGTATCCTACCGGTGACATAATGCGCCCCTCCTGGGAAGAGCCATCTCCTAAAGTGGGTTAACAGACACTGAATAGGGGTCCTTGGGTAACTATGGTTGAAAAATGCTAGGTGCAAGCTGATTGAATTGTTTTGTTTCTGTGGGAAGTCCGGGTCCCAGAATGAGGAAATATGCATCTTAACTATGAGATACAGAGGGCTTTGAGTCATAAACATTAAATACTGTTTTAGAGCTAGGGTAGCAAAGAGTGGGCATCCCATTTTTGCTGCGAGTTACCCCAACTACAGAAACAAATAAAAAGAGAAGCTTGTATTTTGTTCTGTCTGTCTTTGTATCACTGTGTCTCTCTCCATCTGATCAGTCTCTGTCTCCCTGAATCTGGTTTTCTCTCTCTGTTTCCCTCAAACACGCATACACACACTTCTTTGTTGCTGCCTCTTGCAGTAAACAGAGAAACCCTTTGTGCCCCTTTATTCTAGGCATACTGACAGGCCTGCCACCCTTCCATAGCTATGCACTAACCCTGACTGCTTGTTCTCTGGCGGGCTGTACGGAGCGCTCACGTGCATTGAACATCTCTACTCCACAAGAAGGTAAAGTAATTTCAAAGGTCTTGACTTCCACATTTCAGTCATGAATAATAAAACAGGAGACGAGCTAAATGCTGCGAGGCCATTTGCTGGAAAACCCCGACCTAATTTGATGACAAAGTGCAATGCCAGGCCATAATTGCTCCATTTTTTGGGGGGTGCGAAAATGAATCAAACTCCATAGCCTTTAATGACATGCATCTTTAATAGCTGTAATGCAGATTAATGGGCTTTTTAATTGCTGTTACATTGTTCATGCAAGAGCCTTGTCATTAATATGAAGCATCTGAAAGATTAATGCAAGCTTCCTCATTTTACTATGGCTCAGAAGTAAATCTAGAGACAGACTGACTAAAAAGAATTGATTGTATGGCACAGTATGAAATTGAGAATCAAATGGTTGATTTCCATGGTCTCTTTTAACTGCGAGACAGCAGCTCTGGCCACAATTATTTTGGAGGGATGGACGCTCCACATGCCAATCAGGCCCGATTAATCGGTGCTCAGTCCCTTCCGGCTTGAGTCTCACTTTTGTTGTGCTTGGAGCTTTCAAACTGTTGGCATAAATTAATGTTTCAGAAAGCATGCATTAAGAAGGCAGGGGGAAAGAGAAAATATTTTAGGACTCCAAACAGGAAAGCCTTGCTCAAGCATGAGAACAGATTGCTTCAAGGAAAAACAGTTCTCGAAACACCAGAAGCATTGCTAGTGTGTATTTCTATCTCCTGGGCAAGAGGAATTGAATCCTGCCTAGCTGGAGCATTGTCTAGGAGATTTAAAGGCTTGATCTTTAGGGGAAAGATTTAACTAGTGACTGTCTCTGTCTCTGTCTCTGTCTCTCTCTCTCTCATTCTCTGTCTCTCCAGGATGCATGTTTCCCCCACTCCTCTTTTTTTTCCTTTCCCTTCTTTCTTTTCAAAAGCACCATCTGCACAGGTCGTATGAGAGAGAGAGAAAGAGAGAGAGAGAGAGAGAGAGAGAGAGAGAGAGAGAGAGAGAGAGAGAGAGAGAGCCATATCATGACAAGCTGATAAGATACAGGATTTGGTAAAATCCATCTTGTCATGCTTTACTCTGTTTCATGCCTGATCTAACCAGAGCCCATGCCTCCAGCTATGCCATCAACAACACACCATCAATGGCATACCATAGCATTTCTCCTCTTTGTCTCCATCTAGTCTAGTGAAACGGCATTGTTTCTCATGATGTGCCATGTGTCTTCTGGGGTACGTGACCATCACCCCCGTTTACGCACACATCCACTAAGCTTGATCTGAGCAGCCTGGCATTATGTCCTCTGCACTGACTTCATTCTCAGTCTGGATTTTGCATTGTAACCTCCTCCCTGTCCACAGCCATGCCCCCAGTGGTACCTGACCCATTGGGTTCAGTTCCTTTATCGTCATTTGTGCAATTCACAAACCTGTAACTTTCCCCAAAGGTTACCCCTAATTCTACAGAATGACTGGTCAGTTTTTTTAAATGTTTAATTTCTATGACTTGAATTCATTGAGCAGTCCATAAATACATCTTTTTAAAATTACAATTTAGATTTAATACATAATTGCTTGAATTGCCCAGTTCCTGGCCAGTTCTGTATTATGCAGTTTTTAAAACATGTCGACCATGAACTGCTCACCAGTGTGGCCCATTTCAAGTGCTGCGCTCCTCTGGCTCGGGTACTCTGTTTAATCCTCTTTAACAGGCTCAGCCCCACCAGCACTCAATGGGTTAACAATACCTTTGATGAAGCAACACAAATGTCAGTCAAGTGAACTGGAGTAAGTACTCCCCATCCATCACAGATGCAAATTCTCATAAATTCAGGACAGTTATTTAGCACTGTTCCTAAAGCAATTACTGACAAGCTGCCTACGAATCAGGAGAACTTCCATGCATGGGACTGCGGGCTTAGCCCATGATTTATTGGTTTGGGTCTGAAAAGTTTGACTTAGAAAAGTAAACTAAAATTAGGCTCTCTCCATCTTGCCTCCCACAGCTCCACAAGAGTTTCAGCCTCAAGCAGCCAAAGTTCGTCCTAATTCTTTGTTGCTGTCCTGGGATCCACCCAGACAAGCAGATGCGATCATAACTCACTGCTCTTCATACGTGGATAGGAGGCTGATCCACACAGTCACAGGTGAGACTTCATCATCATCAGTAGTTACACGGGGAGAGAATGGAGACTTCCGTCATTATATCACTATCTTTCTATCTATCATCTGTCATCTATCTACCATCTATCTACCACCTGTCATCAATCATCTATCAATTTCTATCCATCATCTATCAGTCATCTGTCATCCATCAGTCGATTGTCTATTGATGTCTATCCATCATCTATCAATCTATCATTTACCGATCTCTCTATCATCTATCATCTATCAATCTATCCATCTATCTGTCAATCTATCATCCATCTATCATCTATCAATATGTCATCCATCTATTATGTATCATCTATTGATCTCTATCACCTATCTATTAATCTATCATCTATCTAGCCATCTATCTATCAATCTATCATCTAACTATCATCTATCAATCACCAATCTATCCATCTATCATCTATCAATATATATCCATCTATTATCTATCATCTATTGATCTCTATCATCTATCTATTAATCATCTATCTAGCCATCTATCTATCAATCTATCATCTACCTATCATCAGTCATCTATCCATCTATCTGTTATTATCTATCATCTATATCTATCATCTATCAATCTATCCATCTATCAGTCTGTCACCTATCTCTGCTAGATGATCAATGCTTATGTGTATCTGAAATGAGTTTTGAGAAATCAGGTGACTTATTTTTGCCTCCCACTCTCTGTTTTAGCTCCAGATCATAATCATCATATTAGCGTTACACTGAAACAAAAGCTAAAACTAAAAATAAAACATCACTCATGTTGCCTCCTGCTTGAGTGTTGTCAACTGGAGACCTCCCCCCACCCACACAGCTCCTCACCTGTGTGTCTTCACCCTGCACCTCTGTTCCAGTGTAGAACGATGCTCGGGACTAGCCCAGGTAGTCTCAGCACAAACCTTTCTGTCTCCCACAGACTATGTGAGACTGAGACTCAGTGTAACCCCCAAGCACCCAGACGTTGTATGTGAGCCAATGAGTGGGTGGCACCCTTAAACATTGCCATGCTCACCTTAGCTACTCCAAGCCTACTTGCGTGCAAGTCAATGTGGAATGAAGTTTACACCATTTGAGAAGTAATATGCATTATAGGCCCAGATTATAGAATAACACCTAAGTCAAATAAATTGGCAAAAAGCTTTCTACATGCAAAAGGCCTACATCGGATTTCTTGTCTGGTGTTTGTATTGTGCTTATGTCTGTATAATACTTATACAAATTATGTGTTTTATATCATTGTATGTACTGGATCTGACTCAATGGTGACATTATTAACCAAGTCTTGATTTAAAGACTTCCATCTAGAGATACTAAGTTCTTTGTGAAAGGTCAAAAGTTAGAGTGAAAGGTAGACTTAATTATTCATGAGTTCAGGCATTCTTCTGAATGGCAAGTACTAGCATGGTAAAGGGACCCAGTCAGACCCTGCTCGTCCTTCCCTGGTGTTCCTGGCTTCCTGGGGATGCATTTAGACCCCAACACCCACATCATGGTTCATAATCATCTGTAACTCTGGTCCCAGAGGATCAGACAACCATTCCTGGTTTCTGTGGGCACCAGGCACACATGTGGTACACATACCTACATGCAGCAAACACTCATACACATAAAATAAAGATAAATCTTGAAAATACGATTGAGTCAGGCATAGTGGCAACACCTTTAATCCCAGCACTTGGGAGGCAGAGGCAGGTGGATCTCTGTGGGGTCAAAGTCAGTCTTGTCTACATAGTGAGTTCCAGGCCAGATGGGGTTACAGGGAAACCCAATAGTAATAGTAATAATTATGATAATAATAATAATAATAATAATAATAATTTAAAAAACAACAAAAAAAATAAGAAAAAGATTGAGCTGATGACATTTTAGTTTAAATTTACGATACAGAAAATATTTCATAAATAATTAATTACTAAAACACACCAGAGAATTTTATGCACACATTATAACATAAAGCTCATTTTTAGGAGCAAAATATATCATCGTGCATAAAGGGATATCAAATATTTAGCAACAGAAGAGACAGTTCTTGACAGAATACTTTAATTGATCCTTAAGGTATGATGTCAGAGTGCCCTGTATACTTACTGAGTGGCTTCATAGCCCTTCACTGTTTCCCCTGGCCTTTGGTACCTTTTTTTTTCTTTTTGAATGATTCTGTTTTACCCTTCTAAATCTTAAGTGTCAGAGGACATGACCATGTCTGTTTTGTTCATTATTGGTTTTCCAGACCTATCAGTGGGTAATGAAATAGCGGCAAGTCAGAGGGAAGGCCCCCAACTCTCGGTTATAAAGAAAGAAGACAGTAAGGGTTGGGGCTGCAGCTCAGTTGGTAGAGCGCTTGCCTAGCATGCTGATGGCCCTGGGTTCAGCCTCCCAGCATTACATAAACCAGGAGTCCTGCTGCATGCCTACAGTCCCTGCACTCACACTTGGGGTGAAGCAGAAGGATCAGAAGTTCAAAGTCATCCTCAGCTACCCATTGAGTTCAAGGCCAGCCTGGTCTTAATGTGCCCTGTCTCAAAATTAATGAAAAAGTGAAGGAAGAACAGGAGGAGGAGGAAAAGAGGAGGAAGAGGAGGAAGAGGAGGAGGAGATCAAGGAGAGAGGGAGGAAGAGGAAGAAGAGGAGGAGGAAGAGGCATCAAGGGGGGACTCATAGAGGCTAGAAGTGGGGGATTAGGAAATGAAAGTAGTAGGGAAACAACCAGACAAAAAGCAGCTAAGATCCTGGTCCATGCACAAAAACACAGGCTGAATTGCGTCTCATGGGAGTGGCTCAGCTGATGGCCTAGGAGACACTTGACTATTTCCCCAAATGCATATTGTCATCAGGTGACATTTTGAAAAACCAAAAGAAAAGCAGTGTGGGGAGGAGAGGAGTGAAGAATCCACACACATTCCCAGTGCCACCTGAAGATTAGTACTTTGTCCTGGAATTTGGTGGGCTAAAGCACCAGCATTCAGTGTGACTGGGAGAGTGTGATGGAGCCACATGTGTTAGCACACGGGACTAGTACAGCAGGACCCTTAGCATGCTCTTGCTCACCTTCTTCGGCTACAGTGGTGATTCCCTCGGTGCTTCCAGTCTGTGTGTAGGAGTCTAAGAAATTCTGTTTCTAATAACACCCATGGTGGGTTTTTTTTCCCTGTAACTTTTTTACAGGCAGCTGTGGTCTACGTTCCTGAATAGCTTAAGACATGAAGCATGTTAGGACTTTGGTGTTGGTCACTATGGGGAGGAACCAAACCTTGAAATTCAAGTTCAGGTTGAAAGATGGACCTGATTCTCCTCGAGGTGTAGATAGATTAAAAATTTTAAGCAGTAATTGAAGAATAAATATAGTGTACCTCATCCCAAGGCTCATGCTTTTCTTACCTGTGTATTTTATTGAAAATATTTTATTTTTCCTCACAACTCTAGTAGGGAGACAGGAGTCTTATTAAAAAAAAAACAAAAAACCCATGTTGGTCTTCTAAGGCAATGCAATAAAATACCGCAGCCTGGGTGGCTTACACACCTGATACATACCCCTCACAGAGTAGAGGATGGAGTCTGAGGTCAGGTGGTGGCAGGTTTGGTTTCTCCTGAGATGTTTCTCCCCCATTCAGGTGTGTCATCAAGGGGTCTTTCCCCAGTGCCAACATGGCCTTGCTGTCTCTTCTGTTTCCTGTAAAAACATCAGTTATATTGAAGTAAGCCTTCACTTTTACAGCTTCATTCAATAAAGTCCCTGTCTCTACATATAGTCACGTTGGAGGTTACAGTTTCAGTGTCTGGATTTGGGGTGGGGCACAGCTTGGTTAACAACAGTACCCCAAAGCAAGTACAATTAGTACAGCTTCGGTTCTCTTTTGCGGATTCTGAGATTGCACGAGAATTCAATAGAATAGCTTTGAAGATCCCTTTCAGCTCTGAGATTTTCTACCTGTGACATGTACTAAATTAAGGTCACTTTTATCTCCAGTATTATCTGCCCACAGGGCCTCACGAAGACAGATGGGAAGGGAATCTGACTGAAGCCAGCCAGTAAGGAAATGGGGAAGCTGGCCTACCCATGGAGGGGCTGTTGAATCTTACCAAGCACTTGAGCCCAGTGCTAAAGTCCATTGATGTTCACCTACAAACTGCCGATGTCCATCTTCCCTCTCTGTATAACTGTGCTTGTGACCTGCTAAGTGTCCTTTCCAGGTTGAGTGGCTTGTTGGTGAACATCCCTTCACGAGGACATGTGTTTTCAGGAACAGTAGACTAGACGCTCAGGTCAGCTTGGTGGATCTATACAATGTTGAAATGGCTTTTCATAGGCCTAGAAATAGAAGATGTAGTCTTCCGGCTTACAGAGATCATTTAAGATATGTTGAAATTATAAAAGTAATATATGCTTATTGAAGATAATTTAAAATACACTAGCATCTAATACCAGGTTATCACAGCAAACAGAGACAAATTTAGCATTTGATGTCATTCCGTTGTATGTCGTTCATTTCTGCAAAGCTAAGCTATGACTTACGTATAACTGACTATCTTTGTCTACCCCTAAATCTTTCATTTTCTCCCTACAAACATCTCATATCAGTTCATATTATAGGTCATCTAGGTGAGCTATATGAATATACACAGCCATATAAACATTTGTCTTTATCAAAAATATTGTGATAACTATTATATGTAAATCTTAATTTGCCATATTTTTAGAAGGTGAACAGGTGACACAAAGGTAGTTGACATTTTGACAATTTCGTACTGTAAACAAGAAAGTGTGATGATTTTCAGCCCCCAGTGCCCACTCCTGATGACTTTTCTCTTCCTCCCACTTAGCACCCCTCCGACTCGTATCTTTCTCTTTTTAACCTTTATAAACTCTTTGATAGATATTGTCATTTCATCTCTAGAAAAGTTAACAGTAGTGAATGTCATATTTTCAAATCTTTGATAATTTTAGAAATGAAAAATATTTTACCTTTATTTTCATGTATCTCTT